ATCTTGTTTTACAGATCGGAACCAGGGGGTTCTGTTTTCGCCCAGCAGTAAGAAGGATCCCAGTATTGTACTCTAAATTATGATGCACATATAATAGTAATTGTAAGAGAGGATAGAACCAGCTAGAGACTTATTAGCTCTGTGACTGGGACACTGAATAAAACATATAGATTCAAATCACAGTAGGGTGATTACCGTTGTACCTCTGTGAGAGTACCTCAAGGTCACTGGGCCAAAAGGTTAGTTAGCGGAAATAAGGCGACGAATGAGCAAGAAAGGGTGTTTATTTTTACTTTGTTTTGCGCAAATGTGCCCGGAATGAATGGAGAGCGGATGCTGAAGCTCCGCGGGTTTTGACGGAGAAGCTGGCTTTGATAGTTCCTCGCATTGTCGGCTTCCTGAATGCTCACCCAGAGCATGTAGGGCTTGCAAAGAGGGATTATGGCACAAACATTCCTCTCCTTTTTACCTATCTTTTTTTTTTTTTTCCGGCAAGTGCTCACAAGTGTGTCATCAAGCATGGGAAAACAGAAGGGCACTGCAACCAAAGCAAGTTGGAACATCATAGCATACAATGATATTCAAGTACTTTCAGACCTCCAATCCAGCTCTGACAACGTCAGCCCTCTGTTTGCTGACTCTCCAGCATAGATGCCTACTGCGTCGCTTCTGGAACCTACTGACCTATAACTGTGGTGACTCCTCCAGGCGATCAGCAGAGGTAGATGATTCAGATCAAGAAAGTAATGGTCCAGATCAAGATGGACTCTTTATACCAGGGATAGGCAGCCCTGATCCTGGAGTGCTGGTATCCAGCAGGTATTACATCCTATCGGATCTCTGCTGAACCACATCTGATCTCAAGCAGATAGTAAGTCACACATCAGGTAGGATAGAAAACCTGTTGGATACTGGCACTGCAAGATTAGGGTTGCCTGCCCCTGCTTTACATCCAACTGTTAAGTTGAAACAAAATCTTGGTGAGGAATTTTACTTTCTGGACCTGAACTATCCACCTCTGGTGATGAGTGACAGAGGGGAAGCACTGTGAATTGCATGTTGTAATGGATATTTATGACAAATGTCAGCAGTTTTTCCGATGAATGCTAAAGAGGTTCCAAATCAACCTGTGAACTGTACCACTCTCACAATGAGTCCTGATCAAGCACCCAGAGACGGTTTTCGTGTGGAGGAACTTGAAGAGTTAGATTTTTTTGCCCAAACAAAATTTCCTCATTCTCTGTACTTGGTCTTTTATTATATCAACAGCCCGTGACTGAAGTTCTTTTTTGTATGATGGCGATATGTGTTTAACTCATGTTCGAATGTCAAGGTGTTAAGGCCAGTAGTCAAGGTCAGAAAATGACCAAGTCAGGCTGCTAATGTCAATCAAGGGCTCCATACAGATATAGATGTGAACTACACATGCATCCTTTATATACTATACCTCCAGTAACTTTGTGCAGTGTAGGAGTTGACCTTGTGACCACACATGAAAAGACTTTAGTTAATAAATTACTGCAGAATTGAGTGCAGTTGAAAACTGTAAGCACTGTAAGTCACCTTGGATGAGGGGAATTTCTGAGTAAATAAACCCAAGCGTGGTGTGCTAATTAACTCTACAATATTCTGTAACTGTACAGCCTGATTACTGCCATGGTTTCAATTAGAGAATAACATCCTTTGATAAAGTGCCTCAGTGATTATTGTTGCATATTGCTGATGTTACCATTTGCTGAAAAGGAGCTTCTGGACATCAAAAGAAGGCAGAAGCCTCTTTGGTTGAGCAGTCTGCATAAATTTCTGTCAGAGATGTGACACCTAATATTAATTACTTTCCTGGTTTATTTCTTTTATTTGTTCTCCAGCGACCTCATTTGTGGTTGATCCACATACATTTTCCTGCATTTCTAATGCACTCAGCAGCTTGTATTTGTCAACTGACCTTCATCTGGTGCATCATGCTATGAGGGAAATTTGCCACTTTCAGCATCTGCAGCTGCACAGTTTGTGCCGAATATAATCCAGACCACCTGCCCCACACAACAATTGCTTTTCGAGTGAGGAGCACCACCCCCAACCCCCAAACACCCAGCATCCCCCTCCCCCAGCACTCGTTTGCCGCAGACAGTGTATTGGGGACCTGAGAATTAAATAAATGTCAACATCCGTCTCCATGAGCAGGTGAGCCATTACTTCTTGGAACATGTCTTCTTTCAGAAAGCAATTCTGCATGCTGTCAGTTTGCCTGCTCTGCTCTGGCCATCATCAATAAAAAGCATCAATCAATGGAGGTATGGTGATGACACACTAAATATGTACGATAACACTGATTCAGCTTTTTCTCTAAAATTGAAAACGCGCTCTAGGTCTCCAATAAACTCTACTCGATCCTAAAGTAGTAGTTTGTCTCGTGAATATGGAAATGAGGCGAGAGTTTGCAGAATCAGCTCACAGGAAGTGCCCTGCTTCACTTAAAAGTGTCCCAGTAACACATCTGGCCTTATATGTGATCAATTGGTACAGGGATAAGACACGCAAGTGCGTTTGGATGAACACAGGTCAAGAATCCAACTGAATATAATGATGTAATTATCTGCGTACACGTTCACCCACTTTCATGCATAAACATTAATGGTTTGCTGACATCGCTGCCGTATGCAGCACCTTGGGATGGCGGCGACGAATCGTGAGCGAAAACATTTCCTCATGTTTGGAGGCATCTCTCTTTCTGGCGGGAGCACGGTGCCATTTTATTGTGGGGTTCTTGCATTATGCGTGGACATATTGGACCAGCGCCTGGGACGGGGAGCACATAAAAGGGAATGGCGCGGGTTAGGAATATCTGCGCGGTGCCCAGAGGGGAAATGAAAAATAGATGAGAGATGCAATCCATTCTCCCGGTCCCCAGAGATCCATAGCACCCGCCGCTGCTCTCCATCCCTCCCCCTCATCGCACTCCTCCACTTCTTCATCTGCCGTTTTTTATTCCGAGTTCTCCTCCCCCAGCCCTGACTCACCCAATGCAGGGGCTTCTCATTGAATCTGCTTGTAGCCACTTCGAAATTATCAAAAAGTCGCAGAGAGGCTGAGTAAGGGAGTGTCGGCATACGACGCGCGTCCAAAGCCATTGAGATCGAAATCAATTAATTAATTCATTTATTTGCGGATGTTAAAATAGGTATCATCATTCCTTTTAGTGATTCACATGCAAAAAAAATGTGATAGGGTATCAAAACCATACCAAAATATTACTTTCCTTAGCGGTGATCAATTGCGGTCAACAAAAAATAAATCCTCCATACTCACTCCCTACATCAGGGGTGGGCAATCTTATCTGCAAAGGGCCGGTGTGTGTGCAGGTTTTTGGGATAACCTTTAAGTCAGCTGTTCAAACCCAGGTGTGAGGACTCTTCAGCCAATCAGTCCTCTAATTAGTAATCTAATTAGGGAGTTGCAGTGAAAACCAGCATACCCAATGGCCCTTTCTGGATAAGATTGCCCTACATCCAGTCATGCTGATGAGCAGGTGACTAAATATCCCAGTCACATGACATAGCTCCCATAAAACATGGAGTAGTGGAGCAAGACAAATACAAACAAAAAGGTTAAACTAACATGTCTCCTACATGAGAATTTCCATGAAAATTAGGTTCTTGGGTTTTAAAAATGACAGATGACAGTACGGCTGTTTGACACTCTTCCAGCACACTGCCTGGGCCTGTCAAACAGGTAAGGTGTGACTCCTGCTCACCTGAGTCTTTTCACTCTCCTCACCTCCACTGCAAGCACCAGATGAGACCAGTGACAGGGGAAGGCCGAATGTTGAGGGGGGTACGCTCTCACCCTGACCTAGTGCTCCTTTCTACAGATACGACCCAAATTCTCCATCAGTGGTGGACCATTCCTCTGACCTGTGACCCCAGCCTTACCTTCAGACATGAAGCATCAGTGACTGCAATGTGTGCAGTACTTTTTGTGATGGAAAAAAAAGAGCCAGTATGTGGTTCTGGTGTTTAACACTAATCTACTATCCATACAGAAACGCAATTAATTTACAGATCATCAATTACAGCCATGATTTACAGATCCTTATGACGCAGAAGTGCTTCCTTTCAGTTGAGTTTTCCATAGCAAAGTAGAGACAATACAGAAGAGGAGAAAATACACTTTTATTTAAATCACTTTTTTAACAGGACAATATTTCTCCACTTTTTCTCAGTGATTCGAGGTTTTTTTTCACCACCAGCTGCCCGCTATCCTGTTTGCCACAACCATGATTTAATAACCAACAGCATCGCAGCCGTAAAAAATATTACTGCAAGCAATGTGCCCAGAAGCCGATTGGATTGTTAAAACGTACGGAAGAGGGCGCTCATAACCACTCGAAGGCTTCCATCAAACCTTCCTCTTTCCCCATTTAGGCGCATAACTAACTACCGGTGCTGAACTTGATCCTCAGATTTTTGTATTACACTGTAACTTTAAATAAGAGACAGTGCAAAGTACTACTGATCATCTCTATACAGTATGGAATCAAAAGAATGAAATGTAATTTTATTGCTCTACTACTCTTTCATTTTTCAAAATAAATACTGAAATAGGTGTAAATACCTTATTAAGCATAAACAACCTCTTTGCCGATTGACTTTTTCAAGGTTAGAGCTTCATCATGGTTTCAGAAATGCAGTGTACTGTTAACCAATTAAGCAGTACACCTTTTATGCATAAGAAAGGTTTTAGACATAAGTGTTTCGTCTGGGAGATTTGAGAACATCGGCGACGAAGGGAAAATGTCAAATAAATAATTACTGAGGTTACATAAATTACATAGGGTTAGGTTTAGAAAAGACCAACTTCCGTACTCAGCCACAACGAACCAAAGACACAAGTTTCTTTAAACACTCCGCCCCCCCTCTCTTTTGGTTGGCTCGCGAGTCGCCTTCTCCAAATGTAAGACCCCGGCCCCGTGACTGGCTCGTTCACATGCCAATCAAACACATCCTTAGCTTGGCTTCAGCTCCTAAACATATCAGTTGGCGGGGAGTAGTTTGACGGAGGGAGAGTCTTGAGGCTGGACCATCAGTGCGTCGCCTCGGTTGTTTCCCAGCGCGCATCTAATGTTTCTCTTCCATTTAGAAATATAGTGATAGCCGATCACGCTGGTGATTCTTGCATGCCACAAGCGGAGGACCTGATCGCCGGTCTACGGCAGCTTTACAAAAATCTCATTTTTTGCTCCCATGATACACTAATTATTCAGAGGCATGTGGAATTCTGTACGGATTACGAATTTCTTTTTAATGGTGTGTCTACTGTTAACGTTATGGATTAAGGTGAGATTTGCTGATTTTTTTAAAAAGAATAATAATAGACAAATACCAGCATTTAACAATTTAATAGTAAAAACTAAATCATGCCGATTTCATCATGTAATTTTGCATTTCTCAGCTGTGTGAAGGTAAAGTGTAATTGTGTTACGATTTCGAATTTTTACGGCAAAATGGCCCCTAAATATACGGAGAACTTTGAGTTAAATATCGAATCGTATTGCTCTGCGTGTTGGATACAATTAGAAATATAGGCCAAACTTGCCCATTTTTATATGGTGTATGCCTAATATCACACATGTGCAGCAGATCAACCCTTTGCAGTTTGAGTGAGTGTGTTGCAGCACATTTCGCGTATGATAATGTTATTTGGTAGCCACTGTACTTTATGATGCAGCTTCTTCCTTTTGTTGATATTTTATTTTAATCTTCTTTCAGGGGTCCCATTCCTCAGGCTATTTTGAGCTTCAGCTGATTACCGTTCAGAATGTAAACGGTGAGTTGGCGGACGGAGAGTGTTGCGACGGCACCAGGAACTCGCAGGATCTGCGCTGCGCCCGGGATGAGTGCGACACTTACTTTAAAGTATGTTTAAAGGAATATCAAACGGAGGTCACAACCACTGGCCTGTGCAACTATGGGACTGGATCTACTAGCGTTCTTGGAGGAAATAACATTCATTTCAAAAGTACCAAAAACGCGCAAAACAAAATCAGCGATGCTGGCAAGATCGTAATCCCTTTCCATTTCGCTTGGCCGGTGAGTATTATTTTTCTATCTTATTTTTTTTGTGCCGTAACATAACATTTGAACGAAATACGGATTTTTCAATGAGGAGTAGAGAGAGTGCAGCCCAATACACTTATATGGCTCGCATATAACGTAATTTTGCAAACTCTGCACATCCCTCCCCTCGGATTGTTGTCCAGTTTGAGCATCGTACCTTATAACTCGGGACGACTCTGTCTCAGGTGTTGGGGACTCATGCTTTCTAATGATTCGTGCATTCCCTGTATCACGACCAGTTAAAGAAAATTGCTTGCATGCAGTGTCCAATAGAAAATATAAAAGGCTAGTGTACGGTGTCTTTATTTGCATTCCAGAAAAGAATATCGCAATGTGTCTGAATCTCCGCCGCGCGCTGTGCCGCGACATTCCCGATTCTAAGACGGTACTTTTCCGTACCATAATATTTCAGTTTTTGTTTACACGTCTCACACTCCACTTCTAATTTTGTTGCGTGCTTGCTTTGAAGTTATTAATAAGCTACTTTTGTATATATTATTATAATGTAACTGTTATAAACTTCTGACTGGGCTCAGATGTTGAGTGACAGGCTGTAACATCGCGCTGCTCACGAATCCAGCAAAAGGCGAGCGGACTTTATGCTGCGCGTGAAGAAGCGCAGTTAAGTGGGGGTGGATATGGGCTGCAGGCGCAATTTCGGACAGAGTTGATACGTTTGGACCTTTTCAAAGGCCCATATATGAGATTAATAACCAGGTATGTCGCGTTGTACTTGCAAATAAACCTTTAACCAGCCAAAGTTTTTCCTCTATTATTAAGTCAACGGTACTGCGATTATTTGTCCGATGATTAAAGTCATACGTAGCGGGGGGAGCGCACTGCCCTGTCACTCAATGAGATAAAACATTAAGAATATTTCTGTTGTTTTTTGTAGGAAAAGTTGGTTGCAGTCTAAAAAAACATTGACTTATCTCTGCTCCTGCTCCTATGCCTTTTGCAGATCAATATCAGAAGCGTAGTATTCGCACCCACAGAGCTATCAAAAGGTTTAGCTGGGCCGATTATCTGAGAGTTTATCGGCATTGTATGGGTGGGTGTGATAACCGATCGTTTTAAATTGAGCTTGTCGTTCCGTTGCAGTTGCCCTGTGTAAAAAGCGAACCCTAAGTATAATTTATAGCATCTCCCTCTTCCGGCAATAAGAGAATAAAACTGCCGTCCGGTAGTTGAAGGAATCCATCACTTCCACTGTAGTGGTGGGCTTAAAATCGGCTGTTATCTCGGGGCTGTTATGCTGTATGAACACGTTGCCACGGCTTCTTGGAAGCTAATGAAATTGCTGGCGGAATGTTCTCCGCTGCCACGACATCTGCTTGGTGCGTGCTCAGTGTAACTGAATCTACATTGTCTTGTAAAACGATATCCAACACCTTCTATAGATCATGGAGCTGCCACCTGTTGCATTGGTGTGTCTTATTTTCTTCCCCCCCCCAACCCCACCCCCCTGCCACTACTTTCTTTAGATGCCAGTGGTGCTTTGTGTTAACCGTTGATCTAAGCTAGGAAAGCTGTAATGTCTGTATCTGAATTATTTTGGGCTTTGATTTTTCAGCTGTTGCTGCTTTACTGTAATAAGATAAAATTCAGTTCAGATGAAACAAAGACCACTTGGTCATTCAAAGGATTCAGGTTTGCCTTTGCGGTCTAACGTGGCAGTCCAGATAAACAGCAGTGGATCGTAGTGATAGGTGCGCCCTCTGGTGGATGTGTTATTCGGAATCAGGTTCATCAGTGCTGGATATGGTAAATGGTAACGATGAGAGGAATGGAGCACTGAAACCTACGGTTGGTGGGGATTACTCTGTGTTGCTAGTCACTGCCTGGTTTAACCCAATAGGAACTGGCACAGTAATGAATGGGAAATATGTTAAACCAGCTGATGATTGGTAATGAAGGACCATAGTGCTAAATGTGAATTTTGAGGCCTCATATCTGTCATCGCAAGTATCTGAGCCCCATGAAGGGATCTGGATGCTGCTGTGTTTTGCTGTTGTGGGACTGTGATGTATTTCAGTTTCTCTGGTGTTCAGCATAACACAAAGCAGCATCCCCACGTGGATCTCAGTCCTAACAATGATCCTGCACTTTTATTCATTCGTGACGAATGGTTGTGCTTTGCTGGCCCGTTAGCACCAGTTAGCACCTCACGTCGAGGTTCATCTTGCAGGTCTTTCACAAGGCTCTGAGATTTTGCCCCGATGTGTATAGACTTGGTTACACATGTGGGGAGGGAGATTCCGGCAAAGCTGCTGTAAATTGCTGTGTCATGAATCAGAGACACAGGGTTTTGGTGATGGGTAGGGATTTCCTCCAAACCATACAGGCCTTTATTATGAAACTTTATACAGTTCCCTACGGATTACTTTATTGCACTTTGTGCATCTTTCTGATCTTTGTGGCTCCAGATTAGATGCCTATCACTCTCCATACTACTCTGAACTCATTCCAGTGAGCATAGCCATGCATTTTCAGCATAGCCCCTGTGCTCTCAGAATCTCACCCCAACCCCCACAATTCAAGCATGTCTGGCCAGGTGACCGTGTGACCACATGAGTACATTATGTTGACACAAAGCAGAATCCACTCCCTTGTTCTGCATGAGCTTGCGGTGTCTGCCCTGCATGGAAAGGCTACATACACACTGCCCCCCCCCCCACACCCCCACCTTTTGTCATTAGGCCAGGACTGTTTCCCATACGCTAGATGTATAGTGGGGAATAGTTTGTCTTTAGATAGTGAGTGACTTTATTTGTGGCAGGAATGAGGTTCAGCACCTTCCATTAGAGTTGGGGGGGGGGGGCGCTTTGATTTCCAAGGCTAAATGACAGCTGCAGTCATAGTGGATTTGGAGGCTTGCTGAGGGTTGCTAGGAGACCACCTAATAGTTCTTTAGTAACCAATTATCTATCCTCCCTCCACCCTCCTGCCCCCCCCCCCCCCCCGACCTTTCATAGGGCAGTCCCTTGTGTAGTCCTCACCTGAAATCGGGGGCGATAGCATCAGGGAAAGAGCTACACAATTAATCCTGTTTTCATTCAATTATTGATCTCTAAATTGCACTCTGAAGGTCTTGCCCCACAGCTTAATGCTGTAAGTGTCAGTCGTGGGATTCGTGAAAGGAGAAGTGTCTCAGTCTTTATAGCTACATCATGGTGTGGCTTTGAGGGTGGGCAGGTGGGTTTGATGCCTGGACTGAAACCGGTCCTGTCCAGACCGAACCCATGGCCCGGGACTGGAGTCACCGGACTTTAAAGGGAGTTTCTGGCTCAGTGGCTGGAGTGTCCTCCGTGAACAGAAAACCTTTTTGTGTCTGGCTTGATAAACATTTTATTTTTTTGCTTTTCGTATCCCCGGGCCCGTTTGGTCTTCTGTAGCGTTATTCTGGTGAAGCAGAAAGAAGGATGCTCAAAGCCTGCCCCCCCCCCATCATGAGGGAAGTCTTTTTTTAAGGGCCAGAGCTGAACAGTGCCTCCTTTATTCTTAATATATGACCGACTATGATTGTATGAGTAACCCCCCCCCCCACCCACCCATGTTTTCACTCGCATAGCATGGGCTGGGTATTTTTAGACTGTTAACCCTGACCTTAATCTTTCAAATGCAGATAATCTGGCCTGATTTAGTGTCTTTCCCCATTTTCTCCCCGGGTCGGATGGTGTACAGCGGTAGCACAGCACAGCGTTCCCCCACCGTCCTCATCCTCACACGAGGGCAGCTCTTCCTCCGCTCACGCGGATAGTGCGCAGTCAGCCGGTGAGCAAACGAGGCGGCCGGCCCAGTTCAGTTCAACATCGCAAAAAAAACCCTTATTTAGGTTAATTTTCAGGGAAACGCCTTATTGCGGCGATAAATCACCGACTGCGACGGCGGTCGCTACGTGTCAGGGTGATGCATAACGTGCGTGCCGAGCGTTGCTTCGGAGAGAGGAGAGTCCTGAGTAAACATCTCTGTCGCATGTAACGGCGAGTTCGTTGCAGGTTGCTGAGGAGCTCTTCTCATTAGGGAAAATGCGTTGGTGTGTGTGGGAATACAGGCAATCGCATTGATTGCGAGTGACCCACATGCGATCCTGTCCGGTGCACAGAAACACGCCCCCCCGGAGCCTTAATAAGCCTAAAAGCTCTGCATAATGCCGCGCTGGAGGCTTTGGGGGTGTTACATGAGCGTTACGTGAGCGTTACGCAAATGCCGTCGAGGGGATAGTGTTGTTGACGGCCTTCCTATTCCCCAGCAGTTGCCAAGCTGCCGGCTGGCTCTCGTTTCCCCTCCCTGGGCTCAGGTGACTTCCTCAAATTCCACGTGAAATAATCGGAGAGTACGAGTAGCTCTGTGGCTCCCAGCTTGTGTATCTTCTGTCTTTGGAAAAACTAGGAAAGAGAAACCCAGAGAGAGCAGGAGGTCTGTGTGTGTGTGTGTGTATGTGTGTGTGTGTGTGTGTGTGTGTACTGTATGTGTGCGTGCTTGCGTGTGAGGTATCTTCCGCACCTGTGTGAGAAAGGTAAATGCATGCTGGTGTTGTTGCCCTGCAACGATGTAATTAAAGCACGTTACCACACAGCCTGCTTAATTCCCACTTGACTCCTGTACCTGCGCGAGATGATTATGCAGCTCCACAGGAACCCAACTGGGAGGGGGCTGGAGTGGGCTGCTGAAACGTCAGGTGGGGGTGGGGGCACTTGCGGGCCTAATTAAATCCTGTATTGTATGTCGAAGATTGGACTCACTAGATGGGGAGCTAGTTGGTACTTGCTTTGTGAGGCTGTAGTGTCGGAGGGGGGGTCCACATTTTGGCACATGGACGAGGGTAGGGATCTTAGATGCAGTGTTTTCTGTATTATAGTGCACATTATAGTGCACAAAGTGTGTGTCTGTCCACTAAATATGTCCTTCAGTGCTGCCTGGCCTGGTGTGATGTCCTCTGAGATGGTTTCTGATGGACCAGGGAAGGAGAGGGTGAGCTTCATGAATCTGTATCATCACGATGGTACCGCATGGTATCGCTGAGCAGCCCTTGTCATTTTCACCTTTGAGAATGTTTACAACATAAGATTCCTTGCATGGAAAAGAGCAGAGAGTAGTGAATATCAGTGAATACAGAGTTAGTGTACATTGGCGTGTGTGTTAGTTGTGATGTACAGCCCCCTAATCTTGCCGGCTAATTGGCTCTTTCAGTCGAGGCCCCAGCACGAGTCTGTTGACACATCGCTAATAGCCATGTTGGCATAGTAGCGACACGCTAAAGGAGCCGCGTGTGCGTGTGGCTGCCATACCTGGCGACGGCACGTTTGGGGGTTAGCGCCAGTCTGCCGCGTCAATCCCGGGGAGTCCATGCGCCGGGCAGAATCCCTTTTGATCCTTCGCGTCTGACACGGCACGCCGTGGTACTGATTGTTCTTTGTAATGCAAGTTAATGCGACTTTCTGCGAGCGCTTTGGCTGACGCCGGTTCTGCAGATTTTCGGAACTCCTTGGCACATGTCAACGGGCTCCGGTGTGGTCTTGGTCAGGGGAAAGCAGCTCAAGTCTGGAAGTTTTGACTTTCAGTGATTCCTCAGATCCTGTGATATCATTCATCAGAATTCCCAGAAGAAAGGGTTTGCTTTGACGCCTTTGTCACAATGCCTTTCTGGCCAACAATGCCAGTAACACAGTCATTGTCTCCTTTATCATATCAAGAAGGAGGGAAAATGGCAGTTGTTTACGGACGAAGGGCTGGTTTAAGAACGTTTATTTAAGGGTGACTTCTGCGGTTGGTGCCTCTCCGGTTTTGCCGTCGGGCTTTGAAGCGTCCCACTCACATTAGAGGTGATGTGGTTTGCGGGGGCGGCAGTGAGAGGTGGCGAGGGAGGGGGACATGGGAAAATCCAGTGGAACAAAAGCTGGTGTTGGCTTTGTTGGTGTTGCATCAGTCAGCCGGGCTGATGAGGAAGGATGTAGAGGCAGCAGTCAATCAACCGGTGGCCAGCGAGCCCTGCATTGTTCTGTTGGCCATGCTGTCATAATGGTCCAGAGGCCGATCTGGAGGCACCAGCTGCACTGGCTGTTCTTAGCTGGATGTGTGCCGGGTCCAGGCTGGGTTCTTGCTGGGTCTAGGCCAGGTCTTTGCAGTATTTCATTATACTATATGTCGCCCTTTTTCTTTGCTTTCTCTGACCATTGAACCCCTTGGCGCGGGTGTTTACACCCCATGTATCACGCTCCAGGTTGGGTCCTGCAAGACCCCATGTGCCCATGTCACCCAGACTGGGTTTAGCCTACAGGGTCCTGCTGCATAGTGTCGCTGCAGCTGCGTTCGCCCGTGAAGAAGATGGTTTTCGGCATGGGGAAGGCACTCCACCCTCGCGACATCCGCGGCAGGGACCTCTCAGCCCCTAACGCTGGGGGAGGGCAGCCTCCCATTCAGCCACATGATTGATTCTAGGGGAGCTTTCATTTGTGACTGAGAAGAGAGCGTTTGACCCAAAGAGGTCATCCCCTTGGCCTGCAGTGTCTGCTCCCAGGCCAAGTCTAGACTTGTCTCTTTTGAACGTGGCGGTTTTGCCCCCCCACCGGCTCACGTACTGTATCTGAATCAACGGAACTGAAATGCACACCTGTAGCACTTCAGCGGTTCCGACACTCGGATGGGGGGCTTGTAAGGCCATAGATGACCGGCCAACGAGGCAGCCAGATCTGGGCGTTTAATCCCTCCCTCCCACCTTCCCCCCATAGTCAGGTTGATAAATGTGCCCCCAAATAGATCTTTCTGGCTAGTATTTCTGGACGTTTCCTGAAAGAGATGGGCGTCCCCGTGCGTTTAGTTAACCAGCTCCTTTGTGTATTGAGTGTATTGAGTGAAATGTCGAAAATGAAGGCTATTCTGAGTACAGACTGCAGATCAGGTGCCAGTTATATCCTAAGGCGTCTTTATCTGACTGTACTGCTGTTTAGCACTAATTAACAGGACATAATCTGGAAAATGAAATTACAGTCACTGTACTCAATAATTAACAGACAAATTAAGTTTACAAATTCTTTACTACTTGTTTACTAATTCTTTATTAATTGGTCTCAGCATTGCTGCATGTGGAGTATTTTATTCATTCAGTTAAAAAACTAGATATGATCAGGATATACGATGCTGATGTTCATGTACCTCGATGTGTATGATTCAGTGTTCTAAGGCATTACGTCTCTTACTGGAACAGCTGGGATAGCAGCTCCCTGAAACCAGTTGTTAGAATATGATACCATATTCATGTGGGCTACGTCATACAAACTGTGAGCTAAGCGTGTCTGTGAAGGAGAAGCGGTCTGGGTCGGATGCTGTCTGCAGAGGGTGTGACAGAGGCTGGGCCTCTGTGAATTTACATCAGGGTGCAGTTGCGTTTCTTCTCTGCATCTCTAGCCCTGTCGTGGCAGGGCGGAGCAGGGAAGGGCGACAGTGACGGTGTGGGTGGAGTTTGACATCATTGATGCAGTATTGTCTTCCACCAAGTTCTACCAGTTGTAGTGTTCATGAATACTGCTATGGCTCCTGAACGAGGAGTGTAATCGCGTTGACTGTGTACTGTGTTATTACATGTAATGTTTTAGCCTTTCTGGTCCAGAAAGTAAAAATCCAGGCCAAGATTTTGTTTCAACCAACCAGTTGAATACTCTGTGACTGTGACTCTTTATACTCAACTGGTTGGTTGAAACAGAATCTTGGCCTGGATTTTTACTTTCCGGACCTGAAGCATATAGTCTCTTGTGCTGCATAAGGGGAATGCCCAGCAAAATGGTCTGGCTGCAGAGGAGACCCCTGCAGACTGCAGTCTTCCTGAGCATCTCCCTGGGTCTCCCTGATGTAATCATCCCCATCCCCCTAAGCCCCATCCGTTCCCGTGGGAACCAGCACCTGTGACAGCCATGTACAGCTTTTTAGCTAATGACGCCTAGCGGCCCAGCCCTGCTGAACCATGCTGCATTTCGTGCCACGGCTGTAGCATTTGTTGCTAACCTGGTCCCGGTGACACAGGCCCCCTGGTTCTCCTTCCAGCACCATGCATCTATTACAAAGCACTGATGCATGCTGCGGAATTGCACTGGGCCTGTGTTATTTTTGTTCAAACTCGTTTCTCACAATCATGGGAAGGGTGTTGGGGAAATTAATGTGAATGTGAAATTTCGCCTCATTCTGGGTCAGCGCGTCCTCTGAGTCACTCGAGAGGGCCTTGATTTTCCTTGCCGCCTCAGGGCTACACTTTCCTCTAACCGTACACCCTGTATGACGTCCCTGCTGATACTCGGCTGCGCGGCAGTCTGTCACTGGGTGTGATACCGCGTGCCGGCTTGGGGCATCTAGCAGGCCTCCTGCCTCCGACGGCAGAATGATGTCCGTCGCGCCTCGAGGCAGCGTCTGGCCAGTCGACGGGAAAGGCCGCTCTAACCTGCCGCTGCTCTCTGCTGGAACCTCTTCCAGGCCGTCGGCCTGTTTATCTCCAAACTTAGGCCTTAAAAGAGGGTCTCCTCAAAAACGTAGGAAGCTGTCACTCAATCTAAGAAGAGATTGCAGCATATAAGCAAGTAACCGGCCCAGAAAAGAGTGGCATTAATTCATATGTAGCCCATGTGTATGTATAACATGCATATAGACACATGCAGTGCCACAGACAAAGATGCAGTTTGTTTCCCACCACTGCTGCTAGTTTCAAGGTGAGAGGATTGGCTGAGACATTACAGTGGCTTGATGTCCAGCAGTCAGGGTCTGGGCCGTGGATTGGCTGCTGGGAAGAACATCTGGGGGCTTCCCACACTGGACAATTGCACAGCCCATAATAGATACTATAAGAACGTGTTGGTCACTCTTTATCAGTGCTTTTAACTGCGGGAATAAATGCCTGAGAGGAAAAATGGGTTTATCTCCGCAGTGACTACACATGACTGGACAGCCGTAGGTCTCTGTGAGTCACCGTCTGTCTGTGGAAAAATATGCCTTAACGTCATGCATAAATTTCAGACTTCTCTGGCTCCAGGCCGCCTCCCCGCTCCAGGTAAATTGTGTAATCCGATAGGTGTGAAGGAGTGCTGCATTAATCACTGACATTTCTCACCATCTTCTGTTCCAGCGTGCGTACACACTCATCGTGGAGGCGTGGGACTGGGACAATGACACGACGACCCATCACAACAGTGAGTACTGCTCTCTCCACCAGGAGGCGCCGTCTAGGTCTGAGCAAAGTCGCCAGACTGCTGGGCTCGCTGAGCAGAAACTGCATCCTTGGGTGGAACTGGCAATAGACAAGGCCGGGGTGCCATGTGACTATGTGAGGACTACTCTGGTGAGGACAAGCTTAGTTTGAGTTATGAGAGTAGGTGGTGTTACTGGGAGAGAGCAGAGTTTGCAGCAGTTTGGTGGCATTTGCTGGAGCAGATAATCCGAAGGGCACTGGGTCCGGCTGGAGTGCGATGGTGCAGAGGTGGAGCCAGTGCAGTTTTAGCGGTGTTTACACGCAGCTGTTTCCTGTTTTTACCCGCCTGTCTGTCTTGTAGTGCCGCCTCGCTTTGTTTTAAAGGGCTGGCAGGAGGAAATAGGTTAGCTGGGGAATGTAATGTATGTGAGAGATGAAGCTGGGCTGTTAGAACGGGATCAATGAGTCAAGCCGGGCATTCCTGTCCAGGGCGCCCAACGGCAGCGTGCACGTTTCTCTGCCGTGAGCTCACTGTGTCCTGTTTTTGTTCTGGCCCGTGAGTTCTGAGACAAGAAAACAAAAAAAGAAGGCTCTCGGCTGTACTTTGGTGGTCCCCGCGACGAGGGGGGCGGGGGGCTCCAGCCCCCGGCACTGAATCATGACCGATGCTGGACTGCCTGTTTTTTGGAGGATGGAGATTTAACGTTCGCTGAAAATAAGTCCCAAGTGAGCCTCCAAGCACGGCGGTTACTCTTGACGTCCCGTCAATAAGTAGGATCAGAGTTGGGATGATCGCAGAAACAGAGAGCTTTTAACCACACTGTCCTGCATCGTTTGCTGACCCCTGAAGGCTGAAACCCATCAGAGGAGAATGTGGTGAGTCACCACACCCATCCAGTGCTGGTCATTCTGATAGATCTGTTCACCGCAGCACTGGGTCCAAGTGTACTGGCTAATTCCATCGCGGGAGGAAGTCCCAGCCTGCCTCCGTACAATCAGAGGACGTGCTCAGGAGGTTTTCATAGCTCTACCGGGACAGAACCTCTGAAATTTTGGCCCGGGCGGTCGGAAAGTGCAAAACTGTAAGAAGTGCGAGATCGACCTGAGTGGCAGCGGTCGCAAATTAAGGCACCGTTTGCGCACGTCGTGAATGAGGGATTTGTGGGTCGTGTTTAAGCAAATTGGCCAATGGGAAGTTGGTGAAATGTAAAAGGTTTAGCAACAAATGAGATGTGGTAGATGCATTGTACAAAGGAATGTGGAGGTAGGGGGAGGAGTTCCTGGACCAGGATAGACACTGCACTATGCTGGTGTAAGCCTAGCGGGGCCGTGCTGTGCTGTGCTGTGCTGTGCTGTGCTGGACTGGGGTGTACGAGGCTCGACTGGCCCAAGCTGTGCGGGCCTATGGCGTGGCATTCAGGCAAACGTCCGGCTTTATATAGCTCACTCTGAGAGCCTCGCTGAGAGGCGACTGGGATTCTGGCCTGCTGGGAGCGTCAGAGGAATTCAGCAGTACATGTACGGACAGGTGTGGCTGACACGGTGGGGGGGGGGGCAGGCAGAGGCAGAGAGAAGCGGGGAGACCGAGGCTGAGGCACACCTACGCGCCTCATTATGTTCTCGGCGCAGGCATTGCTGATCACACTGGCCCTCCAGTGCACATTCCCACATGTCAGCCCTCAGGGATGCACGCAGCACGCAGAGCCGCCCCTGCACTGAGGCACATGCACGCACTGCATCCACGAGTGGCAGGCCGCCTTCAGCTGCTTTTATTCTGTTATCCTCACAAGCTGAACCGGAGCTGTGCAGTTATTAATCAGCTGTATGGACAAACTCATGAAACATTAAGATTGCAAACCACACTGATGACTGAATGTCACCAAAACCACTGGTGTTGTCTTGTCAGGGCTCCCTTTAGCTTGACGTTTGTAGTGCTTATTGGGGAAGCTTTTTTTTCCAGTGAGGGATCTTTTCTAAATGGTGGCGCAAGAATTATTCCACTATGAGGTTCATGCCAGGTACTGACATGCAGAACCTCCGTCTCTTGGCCTCCATAATCTCAGTCTTTAGGCCCCATCTTCACCGAGGATCAAACGTCCTTATGCATGGATCTAGCTTTTGGTCACATGGCAAGCAGGCGGGGGGCATTGTGGGTAGGTATGGGTGGCTCATGGTGGCTGCTTTGTGTGGTCAGTAGAGCAGCCTATCTTACACGGGAGCGGAACTGACTATTCGTGCCTGTGTCTCCCTGCTTAATTAGGCCGATGAGCAAATCTGCCTTGTCTGAGCCGTGTTTACAGACCTGTGCTTGCTTTCCAGCCGTGCCCGCTCGCTAATCAGCATCTGAGCAGCTGGTCCGCTGCCCTACCACCTCTTCAAACCTCCCCGACAGGCGCAGGTTCACGCGGCTTCAGGAAAGGGCCTGTCGCGCTGTGTTTACCCAGCAGGAAGTGCCTGGCCAACCCTGTGTTTGGACATAAAACAGAACAGCTCTCCGCCATTGTTCCATATCTGGAGGCGGTGGGCTATTTCTGTTATTGTTCCTTAATTCGTCTGACATTGTCATGAGAAGGAAGGCGGGTGGGGCGGTGGGGGGGGAGGTTGTCATAGGGGGAGGCGGGGGGTTGGTGGCGGCGTGACTAAGGAAATAGCAGGCCCCCTGTTTCCACGGCGATTGTCCCTTGCCTCCGATGCCAGCGTGATAAGCCTTGCTTTCATCGGTGGTGTACTTTCAAGATATAAACCAAAATGAATCCCCAGGTCACGGCGGAATGATGGATATGAAAATTCCTCCGTTGCAAAGTTAGCAGCGGGGATCACATTAGCCTTCCTGGTTGAGCGTTTTCTCTGCTTGGGACGCAGACAGCCAAGCAAAGGGGAGGATCAGCATAAGTACATGGATCGAAAATTCCAACAATTACGTGGTTCTTGACTTTGCTGACCTGATTGCAGTACCCTCTGTGTTTGTAGAACATCTCGGCATACTCAGATCCTACCCCCACCCCCTTGAGTATGTCCTCTGGTGCTGAGGACACATGATTGGCCTGTATTTTCATCCAGCAGTAGAAGCGGCTGGGTCCTGTGGGATGGTCTTTCCAGGTGGGGTGACTGATCAGTGTCTCGATACTCATTTCTCTGGGCTTCTTTCCTGCATATGCAGCCAGTAATGTGGAGCATTAATGTCATTAACCAGGACATTTGTAATGCTGTGACTTGCTGCAGCATGAGTCTGGCTCTTCGTCTTTTTCGTGGTCTGTTTTGTTAGTGATTTATCCATCTGCTGTCCCCTAAGGCTCAGCTCTAACTTGGGAGTTTGCTTCTGAGCTCTGTAGGGGTTAATGGCTTGGGATGCAGCACAGGCGGCTGGGGTTTCTGAGTTCCTGGATGGCAAGCAGATAGACTCCGGAAACGCTCTGAGGGAAGAAATTCCGTCTACATAGCTGACCTGCACTGCAGTTCACTTTACCCTCTTTGCTAATGTGCTGCGGGGCGCCTCTTGGTGCACTGGGTACGTTTGGGGTTGGGTATATCTGTGGCTATCTGCTGATCTTTGGGTGGGGCTGGATCGCTCTGACTTGAGAAAGAGCGATAGGCCTTTCCGATTTCGTTTGTCCCAGCTTCCTTATTATTTCCTCCATGGCTCCTAAGCACCATGGCTTGGATTTCCTGCAAGGGAGAAAGCGAGGGAGGTGGGTGCCATTGGCTTTCTGAGGGAAGTTTGTGGAAAGTTTGCCAGCCCCCCCCCCAGTACTTTTATTTCTTCCTTGTTTTTTTAGAACAGTGGTCTTGGGGTCGACCTGGAGTGCCCCGGTTCGCAGATGAACATCTCCATCCTGAAAATGTTCTTGTCTCTCGGCTTGCAGACGAGGACCTGCTGATTGAGCGGAGCATCCGCAAAGGCATGATCAACCCGGGCGATGGGGGCCAGACCATCCAGCACAACGGACCCATAGCCAACTTTGAGTACAGCATCCGTGTTCGCTGTGATGACAACTACTACGGCAGCAAGTGCAACAAGCAGTGCCGGCCACGGGACGACTACTTTGGGCACTATGTGTGCGACCAGTTCGGCAACCAGGTCTGCATTGAAGGTTGGATGGGCCAAGATTGCCGTACTGGTGAGCATCCTAACGAGGGAAACACACCTGCACGCACTGCCACCCAGATAGATGTGCTCACATGTGACTTGGCGTTAAACCTCTCGGTTAGCAAGCTATTCCACGCAGCATAGCAATTCCTACGCTGTAGATCTTGCTCTGTGGTCAATGGCACTTGGTGTTACTGGATCGTCCCTGGGGCTGAGCTCAGGAATCAGCAGCACAGCGAACAATGTGACACCAAGAATAATACCAGTGTGGGGGAGACCAATGACTGACACATGGTCCATATGGATAATAAACCCCGTTGGTCTTTCTATTAGAATCCCTTCCCCCATCCCCCATCTACCAAGGTTTTCTTTGCTAAAATATACTGCTAACTCAACATCTCCAAACTGAATTTAACCTTGAGTGGCATGTCCGCCTGGTGACAATTTCATATCATGGACAGGTTAGTATGGTTGACTGAACTACCTGTTGAATTCAGGTAGGCTAAGGGTGCACTAAATATGAGGAGGTGGGTGTAAATTGTGCAGGGTTACATTTCATCTGGCACTACTCCTTTATTTACAGCGATCTGCAAGCAAGGCTGCAACCTGCTTCATGCCTCCTGTGTCGTTCCTGGGACATGCATGTAAGTCTGCTTCTATGACTGCTTCTATCCATTGGTGTGGGACCCCTTGTGCTGTTTGGAGTCCCATTCCCAAGGTTCCGAGTTTCACTACACCCCTAAAATGAAAAAAAAAACTGAGTAGTTATAATGTCATAAATAGTTATAATGTCATAAGCTTGGATAGAGAAGCCAGCTTAGATGTTCAGCGGGGGCTGTTAAATTGCCAGGACGATGCTGGTGAAGGCATGCTTGTTTAACCTCTTTTTGTTAATACCGATGGTGCATAAATTGATGACCCTCATTCATGCTCCCCCTGACCTTCAGCCAGATCTATAGCTAGGCCTATTCTTCTGTTCCCACCCCCGTTCCCACCCCCAGCCTCCTCACTATTTTATGGCTCATTCACCCCCAGCAGCCTTCTGTCCATTTATTAAAACGGGGCACTCTTTCTCGTTTGTATGCGGACTGTCCTTTCTGTTTGTTGTGTGTGTTTTCTTTAGCTGTGCATTCCGATAGAATGCTAAAATAACGATTTGGATGCAGCTAAGAGGTTGATGGAAGTGTGTGGGATCTTCGGAGATCGGGATGGGAAGAGAGTGTCTTTGGTTTGCCTGCGTAGCCCTGGTGGGTTGTCGATTTGAAGTTCCACTGAGGAGAAATTTCAGGAGCAACTCCTATACAGTTGCTCCTTCTCCTCCTCCGTGGACCTCCCTGCACAACACTGTCTGTGCCTCCTCATCCAGCTCATTGTTTAGCTTCCTGTTTCAGCAGCTGCATTTCCTTCCCTTGAGCACACTGTTGGAGCTGCTCCTGGCAACACGTCATTAGCCCCCGTTAGCCCTTCCTGTCTTGGACTTGTTTTGGCTGGTGCTTCCCTGCTGCGAGGAGTAGGAACCCCCTCTTCCTCAGTAACAGGAAGTTCCTTCAAGCCGTCCTCCTCCTTCCCTCATGCTTGTTTGCCAAATACCTGCCAGTGCCCGGGATGTGTGCCCGAGAAGTCTTATAAAAACAAGAAGCCCACAACTCCATGCCTAATTGGGCAGCAGGTGGTGTAGCTATTAGAGAACAGACAAGTGGTGCACATAGTGGTTAAAGGACAGAAGCATCAGGCCTCAGCAATATAAAGAGACCTGATTGCTTGAGTGTTGAGTGTTGAAACATGTAATTGAAAAGACATGGCCTTGATTGTATTGTCCGGCTCGTGGGAGTCTATTTACACAAAAAATGTTTTAAAGGGAGAAGAAAAAAGGAGAGATATCCAATCAGGTTGTAGAGGAGGTGGGTCCAAGCAACTAGAGGAGGCAGGACCAAGACATCTGATTGGTTGGATCAGCCTCCTCTAGTTGCTTGGCCCCACCTCCTTTATAATATGATTGGTTATCTCTCTGAACCAATCATTTTTCGGTCTGCCCTCAAAAAAAAACTCCCATGAGCTACTGTTGGGGTGGCGGACAGTAGAGGGTTTGGATTATTATTGGAGTCCTTTTCATTGAGAAACCCCCACCAAAGCATTGATGATGTAGTTGATAAAAATCATGTTATATTTCCGCTACAGCATGTTTTAGCTTAGCAGATGCCTGTATCTGGAATGACATGGGGTGTGTCCGATAGTAATTCACACGCTAGTGTATTTCACCAAATCATCCTTCACACCCCCCTCTCAGTGGAAGCCCCTCCCTCAGGATTAGAGCCTGCGATATGGTATTTCCACATGCAGCACGTCACTTTCCTATTCTACGCACAACCCTCCATGTTGTTCCGCTTATTGTGCCTTGACTGGTGGAAAGAGTCAAAGTGACAATCCCTTCACTCAAGCGTGCCAGAGCGTGTACCCACACTGGACTGGCACCTGCCCGTGCCCGCAGGTCCTCATGCAGGGCGGCTGCATGGAGCAGGGCGGCGATAATATGCAGAAGGGTGCCAGGCCATTTCGTCAACGTGGAAGGAAGATGTGGGGCACTTGGTTTCAGGAGTTATTTCGGGAATATCGCTGAGACTATTTTAAGAACGGCTGCCTGGGAATCCGAAGTGATGGGGAGCAGACAGAACCATGACCCCCCAGGAGTGACAGAGGGCAAACAAATACAGTAGAGTACGGTACATCCCATCATGTGGCCGATGGGCACACACCCTGAAGGCGCTCATTCTGCCAGGGCCTTCATTCGGATGTGGTAGTGAAATCCACCTTTCGACGGGTAGCTGAAGAATGAAAATAGTGCAGTAGTGCAATAGTGCAATAGTGCATACCCTTTGTATTTGCATTCACACAATTCTCCTGGTGTCCCCTGTGACTGTGGGGG